CTAAAACCTCCCCTCTCTCTCTCTCTCTCTCTCTCTCTCTCTCTCTCTCTCTCTCTCACACGCTTGTGCACAAATTTCTGCAGCAGTATTTTAGCTCTCGGACAAAAAATATGTCCCACATCTCTTTCCTCGCACATAAACACACTACTAACAAGCGTCCATCATTCATGTTCGCCCGCTCACTCACAAGCTGTCAGACGCGGTTCCATTTCCTCATAGATCTTGCCGGACTGGCACACATTGCCCAAATGAGCTACTCAACACCTACTTACTTATGTGCCTACACACACGCACACACGCACACGCACACGCACACGCACGCACACACGCACGCACGCGCACACACACACACACACACACACACAAACACACACACACAGGGCATGTATTCAAAAACATGGAGAGAATACAGCTTTAATATTGTCATATTTTCTCTTAATTCTAAGATTTTATTTCTTACTTCTTCACCACACCTCCTGCTTTCCAGTCTGTGTTCTATATCGGTCTTGCATTGCATGAGCTGTACAAGGAGGACGTGTGTTTACTGTTCATATGTTTATATTAGTGTATATGTGTGTGTGTGTGTGTGTGTGTGTGTGTGTGTGTGTGTGTGTGTGTGTGTGTGTGTGTGTGTGTGTGTGTGTGTGTGTGTTGCCATTGGGAGAAGTGGAGCTGAAGTGAAGCCTTACATAACTCGGCTTCAAAGTGAGCTGCAGTCGGCCGGCTGTAAAGGCACGGTGAAGAAACACAAGGAGAGAGAGAGAGAGAGAGAGAGAGGGGGGGGGGGGGGAGGGAGAGAGAGAGAGCGAGAGAAGGAATCTGTAAAACAGAGAGGAGGATGAAAGGAGGAGACTTAAAAGAGGAGAGAGAGGGTTAACAACACAAAGGAGAAATGTTCTTTCTGAACTTTTTTTATATATGGAAATATATCAAGGTTAATTAGCTGGAATCAGAAAAAGAACATGCATCACACATGGTCTTTAAGCTTCTTCTTAAGCTTCAGAAAGATGTCCATTTTCTAATGCAAATGTTCAACTACTGTCTATACTTGCTGTGCTATGATTTTATTTGATGTTATTTTTGTCATCTCTAGATATAGTTTGGTGTGTGTGTCCGTGAAAAGAAAGAGAGAGAGAGAGAGAGAGAGAGAGAGAGAGAGAGAGAGTTTTGATGGGAGGGGGTTGATGGGAGTTGGGGTATGGTTCTCCATCAAATTGCCCCTGTCGCCTCAGCTCCTGTGATTGGGAAAAGAGTCTTAAAATGTCAAGAAAAACCAGCCATTTTTTTTCTCTCCTGCCACGGGCTTGATTCCCGGCACTGCCAGGCTCCTCGCTCGCTCATTGCAAAAAGATGTCAATCAAGCTCAGTTTTTTACACTTCCTCTCAGCACGTCGCTGGGACCGTTAATGGTTGCTTGATTTCTACTCTCCTCATTTTGCCGCCCCCCCCCTCCAAAAAAAGTTAGTGTGGTTCCTTTGATGGATGGGCTCCTATTTGAACTTTTCTCTGACTTTACAAACTTCTTAGTTAATAGTTTTAACAGGCATCAGTCATTACCAAATCTCCATGGTCACTTTGCACTTTGTGTGGCTAATATAAGAAACAACTGGTGAGGAGCTTCAGGTGATTAAGTATGTATCAGATGAGTTTGAACTGAAAAAGATTTGCTTCTTTTTGATATTTGTAGAGCAAAAGTGTGTTATGTCATTCCTACTTTCATTAACCTGTTCAGAGAATCTCTACCAAGGTCCACTAAGTATCCTCTTCATATCTACATCTCACACTCTTTACTTTAATAAACGCTCCATTGATGCAATTGTGAAGTAGACCTTGAGCTATGTTTTTATTTTATTTTTAAGGACCAGACTGAGCTTTAATGTTGAAAGGTTTTACAGATTTTTCACTTGGTTAATGATTTCTTCTCAAAAATAGCATACATCTGTTTGCCATAAAAACTCTGCTTTCTGTACAAGTTTTAACTTTTATTTTGAAATATAACAACATTTTGCAATAAAATGAAAGCTATCCAGTTTTACAATCAATAAATGATACAGGTATCACACATTTTAAAGGTCACATATTATGCATAATACACTTTACCATGTGTTTCTAACACTAATATGTATCAGTACCCTGCCAAGAAACCCCCTAAATTATGAGAAAAGTAAATCCTCTCCATCTTTTGCCTGCTCCATTTTCTAGAAAATGTGTGCTCATACCAAGCGGCAACCTCCTGTGTTGAAAAATGAAGCCGTTGCAGAAGTGTAAGATCCTGCAGGTCCGCTTGAAGACCGGCCTCAGCTCCAGCTCTTAATCTGTTTTTAGGAACCCCCCTTCAGTAACATATGGGTAATGTCACTCAGGCTTCTTCCAATAATATGTGTATGTAATAATATGTAATAATATTTTCTATGGCTCAAACAGGCTGTTTGGAGATGTTCCCTTCATGACATCACAAAGGGCAGTAGCCCCTCCCCCAGGTGGGTGACACTCCCACAGCTAGGTGTTTGTTCTGCCCTCTGAGTCTGCCTTCTCACCGTAAACAATAGGACATGGAGCGAGAAAGACCGAGTACACCCAAACCCTTCCAGAGAGGGGGTGTGGTCAGGCACAGCTCATTTACATATTTAAAGGTACAGACACAGAAACAGCCTGTTCTGAGCAGGGCTGAAATAGAGGGGTTTATAGACATGATCAAATACAGGATCAGAGTGGAAGAAACTTCACACACATGTTTTGAGGAGCTCTGAGACTTATTTACACTGAAGAGGAGGAGGATATGTGACCTTTAAAATATAAGAAGAAAACCTCATAAAATGTATTTTTAACATTTCTCACTCTTTATACTTGTGATGATATTATTAATTTCAGCTTTTCAACAGGCTCTAACCTACTCTAACCGTAAATATTAAACATGTTTACAATATTAACTGTTGCATATCTTGTTCCTACAGCTCCACTGTATGTTGCATTCGATCGTGAGGAATTTTGCAAGAGTTTTGGTTTTGAGGGTCTCGACTGTGTTGGTTCTCAAATGAAATCAGTTCGTGTAAGCTGTTATTTTTTTGGTCAAATTGTTGCTTTCCAAACGCAATAACAAAAATAACCTGTAATCTGTCATCGTGTGTCAGCCTGTGTGCGGTCTCACACATTTTCAACACTTGTAAAGATTCACCAGCTACTACCAGCTTCCACAGAGTTCTTTGATGCAAGAATTTTAAAATGCCTGGATGTAAACCAGTGCCTGTTTGTATTAAAAAAAACACAGTATTTATGCTTTCCACATTTAAGTTGTTTATTGATTTGACTTTTCATGAAACAGGATCAGCACCAGTCGATAGGTGCTCAAATAAACATCTGAGGAGTCTAATCTTAATGATTTCCTCTGAACTACCAGGTCTCTTTTTCCCACAACTTTTAACCTGGGTTGAGTTTTTTGGAAAGGGTTTAAACTGTTTGCTTAATGTATATCATGTTCTCTGTTCCTTTTTCTGTGAAATATCTGTGTTTGAGTTGCAACTCTTTCCTGTACTGAATCAAGAGACGAGATGTTATATAAGTTATTTTTCTTACACTTTCCACTGACTTAAATCAAAACCTTTGCCCAAAAAGTGAAACCTCATGAAGTGGAATTATCCAATTGGAGCGATGAAAGGCTGAGCGTGTTTTTGTCATATCTGAATGTAGAGGTGAAGAGTTCTTTTTTTCTACCAACATTTACTCTCTGAAGGTTGATGTTAACGGCATTCAGACACAACTTTTGTTGCATACAAAGAGGTCATGTGATTCTTTTATGTGATTTCTTAACATGAAAAATGACAGGTGGTGGAATGGTATAACAAATCTGTGGTCGAGCAGAGTTTTTTGTATTTGTTCTTTGACGCCTCACTCCATGTTTCAGCTCAGTTTATTCACTAATAAAAGAAAAGAATCAGGGTGGAAAAAGGAGGTGTTTCCCCCCCCCCCCCCCTCTCTCTTTCTCTGTCTTCCTTTCTTTGCTTCCTGTCACTCTTTCAATTTATAAAAAAACACAGCCAGTGGGCAGATGGGGATCAAATTACATTCACCTTTTACCTGCACTCCTCTGCGCAATTAGAGTCACGCTTACTTGTCATTTCAAATTGACACACTGCTGTTGTGCTGTGTAATTATTTACCTGCCTGGGGAAAAGCTCTCTGGTTTAACCAATAAATAATGACAACAACACACACACACACACACAACACACAAAAGCACCTGAGCACTGTTTTATCTGCAACATGTTTAACATGTCTTTTAACCATTACAGGGTCATGTCTAATTAAAGGTGTCATTGTGTCCAGTGTGTCTGCATCAAACTGTGCAGTTGACTCATGTTTTGCAACAGCCCTTTAAAATGTTTCTGTGCTTTTAATGCCGAACGGTCAGCATTCACATTTTGAGGTTTGAGCATCAGGACCCAAACCAGCCAATCTCCCCTAGGTGCCCTCTTCTTTGCCTGTTCTTTTTTAATACATCCAACTTTTTATGGTCATATGGTGGGAGGTAAATGTCCTCTTCTTCAAACTACAGAGGCCTTATTACTCAACAATCCCCCCAATCCTTCATCAACCCAATACACCACCCACCCACCCACCCACCCAGCACCCGAAGAATTGAAAGGCTCAGGCGACCAACAGGGTTTAAAGGAGAGAGAGCGAAAGAGGGACCACAAACAAATAAAAGCAGCCCTTTTCTTCTGCAGGGGGAAAGAAGGCAATCCAAAAACCAGCGTTCTTTGATCTTGTGTCTTTTCTTGTGATAAATCTGTGTCTGTGATGCCTTTTGTTTTTGCTTTTGTACTCTTTTTAAAAGGAAAAAAAACAACAAAGCAAATAAGCAGCCATGAACTCTTGCTGATTTGTCCTTTTTGCTCTTTCTTCTTTTCTTTTTTTGATATTCTTTTTTTTTCCGTTTTTTGCCAGTAATCTTTTTTGAATTTTCTCTTTTCTCTTTTTCCCCCCTTTTTTTCTTAACCCTAGGTCCGCTCACAAAAAAAACTGATGAATCTTCAATGAACAAGCCTCGAGACGAAGGTATTTTTGTTGCATGTTTTTCCTTTTTTCTTGTTTTGAAGTCTTTTTGGGGGGGGATGTGTACACATTACAGTAGAGTGGAAAACACACACACAAGTGCACACACAGGTCAAACATCTCTTGGGTGGGACTTGAGATGCACACCGGTGTGTTGGTGTAAGTGTATGTGCTGACCATTGCAATTAAAAAGCTGTCTTTGCTATGCTAATCATTAGCCTTATGTAACCTTGATGATCATAACGCCTGGCTAATGGAACCCCGATACCCTTCATTATAAAGTCATCTGCAGGCGGCTGTGTGTGTTTTCCGGAGGTCCTTGTGTGCCTCTCAAACAAAAGAGGGCCTTTGACTTCATCATCACCACCGTGCCCTTGGAAATACACTGGCCAACTAACAGCATTGTCACTGCACAACAAAGCACCCATTGAGTACAGCGTACACAATGAGGCACATTATTATGGCGCCTCAATCCCCTGCTCAAGGATGAAATTGCTATTGAGTAAGGACCTACACCAACATTAAGCTAGTCTTATTCCAAGTCAATGATGATAACATCAAATCAAGCAAGGACAAAAAACAAATAAAAATGGGGACATCCAAGGACGCCCCACTTTTGAAGATTTGGCTGTAACGGTGAGGACGCAGAACTCCCAGCCTGCTGTTAATTTATCTCCCACCTGCAGCACTTACAGTACACTGAGGAGGGGGTTTTATCTGCTCTTTCACCCCCCCCCCCCCCCCCCCCTTCACTTGTTTCTTGGGGAAAAGATGACTGGTGATATTTTGATGCATATTTCTCTTTATGCTATTTTGAGGGGGTTGTGCGGGTGAATCTTTTTCTTGCTCCGTGATGCTCTTTGATTTGCGATGTTTTTTTGAAGTTCGGAGTCGAAAGGAAGTTTGACGCAAGAGGATTTTCTTGGGGATCTAAGGCGCCCGGCACAGACACAACTTTTTGAGCTGCCACAGGCAGCTGGGAGTCAAGTCCAGTAAAGATACTTTCCCCTCTCCTCTAAATAAGTCATGCATCCATTATCATTATGTACTGTATGATCAATGTTTTAATGTCTTATTCCAATAAACCATCTCAGGTACAAAAGCTCAAACTGGACATCCACCCAGATATAAGGGTAAAACTTTAGTTAGCCATTACACAAGCAGACAGTCTGCTAAGGGACGTCATTAAACACACCACTCTACAAAAGTCAGATCATTTCCTGTGTTAAGGAATACACATAATAAGAGCAAGGACAAATGCAGCCAGCCTGTTTCCACTGGACACAAACTGGAAATTACATCCTGCACAGTCCATTAGTACCACCGGTATTATTGCAATGGCTGGATTATAAGAATCACTGAGGTCATTCTGCATACCAAAGTTCACCACATCCATCAATAAAGGGAGGCACAAATGAGAGTCTTTTAAAATGTTTGCAGCCATTTTCTTCATGAATTATTGTGTTCAATGACGTTTAATGTTTCTCCCAATTCTGGAAATGCTCTTTCAAAACCTTTTCCACGCTCCTGTTAATATAACTCTGAAGACGAGAAGCTATACCTGTTGTTTTATTTGATTATCTTTAAGTATATTTGTTATAGAAATGTAATTGTAACTCATATTTGTGTTGGACTCATTGCAACTTAACTTGGATGTTGCAGTTTTACAGCGTACAGTTTGACACTTAAATGATGTTTTCACGCACATCTGCTGAACGAGAACAAATGAACCTGCTCTCCCTTAAAATATCAGATGTGCAAGAATAAGCAGGATTCTGTACGTCATCATAGGGCTCACTATGTTTGTAACATAAGTTTTGTGTGAATATTTGCCATTTTGAAATCAGAGGCATCTTAGGCCCAGATGTTAAAAATATCACAGCAATAATATCTATTCATGTTTGTTAGAGTGATTGACAACAAGCACATAACATTTATGAATATTTAATGAGATAATCCAACGTCTTTATATTAGTTTGACTATCAGACATGAATTTTCACTCCAGACAGAATATATGTCTTTAACATGCAGTGTTTGGAAGTTACTACAAATTGAGGCATCACATGTTTACCCACATTTTTCAGTTGCTTGGTGGTTAAATAACTGTTTGTTAAATCAAAAACTGTAGCTTCTTAGTGGCTCTAACTGATTGATCAAGAAATTAGCTAACGTCCAATCAAATTACGTTTCCCAACCGCACCTGAAGGTTGCATACAGTGGAACCTTCTACTCAAGATTCAAGATGAACTTTATTATCTCACAAAGTGAGATAAGTGTCTTAGGCTGAAAAAAAAAAAAAACCTTTTAAGGATCAGTTAATGACATCACCATGTAGACCGACGAATGTGTAGCTGACCGATGTACTTCAGTATAGTGATTACATCACTGCATCTGCTGCTGGTGTTTGATACAGACACACAAGCTTCAGTTGAGTAGATGGAGAACCCCATTCAAGTGATTCCCTTAAACCCACCACATCTACAACATTATAATAATTTGACTTTTAATGGGGGTCTGCAAACATTAAAATGTATCATGTATAGGGATAGGGTGTGGTACGATGAGCCAGTGGGTAAATTGACCCCTCTCTTGTTACTGTGCTAATGTGGACATTCTCTCTCATTTGGATGGAGGATTGCTTCATACATGCACTAATAAAATATCAATTGGCTGTAAAAAAAAATAAAATAAAATAAAGTGTTTCAGGATACAGTAAAATGCTAAAGTTTTAAAACCATGTGAATGGATTTACTGTAGTTTTCCCCCCTCCCAATTATTTTTTTTAGCTATGGGGCAAAGAAGCCCAAGACATGTAGCATAGATTCAGGCAGTTTTTTACCTTACACTACCATGAAGCAATGATGGTAGGTCTTTGTCTGTTACGAGCTACAACTCTGAGTATCAATAAATTAAATTCAATCAATGTATGTTTGTGTAGCGCCAAATGTTCAAAACAAGAGTTCTCTTAAGACACTCGGCATAACGAGCAGGTCTAGACCTTACCTTGTGTTGTATAATATACAAAGACCAGAGGTGTAAAGAGTACTAATGTATTCTACTCAAGTAAAAGTACTGTTACTTAGATAAAATTTTACTTAAGTACAAGTAAAGTACCAGTTTAAAAATGTACTCAAGTAAAAGTAAAAAGTAACTTGTTTAAAATGTACTTTAAGTAAAAGTTACTTAGTTACTTTTTTGTAACAACGCATCTCTCGTGTATCGTGATAAAAGGACGAGAGGAAATTAATCCCAACGTTTTTTTAGTTAAAGGAAAATCTTTGCAAAGATTTATCTTTTCAGATAAACATTTTCTTTTCTTCCCCATTGACAAAAACAAAATATACATGGATAAAGGTTCAAGTAATCAGCTGTTTTATGAAGGGAAATGTTTAAACTTTTTAAGAAAATACTAAAAAGGGTCTTTGAGAAGGTAAAAGACCATACTCATTGTTATTTAATATTACAAAAGAGCAGGTAAAAGACCTTACTTATTGTTATATAATATAAGAACTGGATTAATCCATCATGAGCACTTTAGCAACATTTAGCAAAAGTTACAGTGGTAAGAAAAAACAACAACTATATAATATATAAACTATAACTAAATCTTCGGCAGGATCCCAGGCTCATGACGAAACAGTCCTCACAGCCAAGACTGAATCGGGCTTGAAGAAGGGATTTGGGGAGATGGGATAAGATGCAGGAAGAGGGATAGGGAACAAGGGAGGGGGGGGGGATATTTAATGCAGAGTAACATCTGGCTCAGCTCAACTTATTTTAAAAGCATGTTTAAAATAGTCTAGTAAATTACCACTGATGGCCATGTGTAGAATGCCTGACAGGATTTCCAGTATTGCACAGAAACTATAAAGAGATCATTAACTGAGTGTTTTCATGGGTTACCTTTGTAAGACTGTAATGGGTAAAACAAGCAGGTATATAAAAACACCAGTCAAGTGCGTTTCAACCCAGTAATCACCTGCAAATAGCGCTGCAACAGTGCTGCAACTTTAAACCATGCAGCCAGTTGCAGGATTGCACAAAGCTGCAGCATTGTGTTATCATACACAGTAATACAACGCAACAGGGAGATTAATGCAGAGATCTGTTTTTCAGAGTGGAGAAACTGATGCATTAACCTTGCATGCGCTCTCAATAGATGGCTCCCTTCTTATTTCTCTATCAGAGAAAATAACATCCCGTAACATGATAGACAATTTTTTAATAAAATAAGTTATAAATTGATAACAGAGGCAGTTGGCACAATCGGTCCATCCATTTTGGGTCCACCGTTTTGTCCTCATTCGTTCAGCTGTGTATCAACAGCCTTTTCAATTTGTGCATGCTTTGAAGCAGCAGATTCTAGGCCATGCAGAAACCTATTCATATGCTATTCTACTCAAGTAAAAAGTACATACTGTACATTCAAGAAGAGCAGCAAAGAAATAAAGCAGCATTCTCCACCGGGCTGGATGACTTCATTCAGCTGCTCATGCTCGCTCTCTGCGTCAGGTGTGAAGGAGCAGAGGCTAGTGGGTTGCAGCGCTGCTCAGTGCAGGCGTGTGCGTGTGGAGAGAGAGGAGAGGAGTACGCACCGGAGCAAGATTGAGATAAATCAAGAAAGAGACAGCAAGAGTGTGTTCCACTGCCATCGTGTGTGTCAGCTCTGATCAGAGACAAACCAGAGCCACCTGAGCCCCAAACCTGGAACATATTTCTGCCAGGGACAATGTCACCTCTCTCTGACACACACACACACACACACACACACACACACACACACACACACACACACACACACACACACACACAGTAACATACAGGGAGTAGCTTAAACTGGGCCATGCAACAAAAACATGGACATAATCTTACAGGGATTGTTCCAAATGTATTAAACCACATTATTGGACACTGATAAATACAGTGAGTAGTATCATAGTATTACTTTGCAAATCACATAATTTTAAGGATGCAGTGCAGGGATAAGCTGCTACTTTTTTGT